GTATATATGGTCTCTTGGTGATCTCAAATATCTACGTATAAAATTTAAATGTCTTGACATTTTCACAGCTAGATTTCATGCTTTCAAATATTTTAAGCAAACCCTGGGCAGGCTGGTAGTATCTCTTTGAAATGGTCATAAACACGATACCAAACCCTAATGATGCCGATCGAATGATAAACCAAGAATTGGCACATTTTCCTAAACCAAATGCTGGCTTTTCCTGAACGTCTAATTGTGGCAAGACCACATCAGGTCAGTGAGGAAGTGTGTCTGCATTTTGGGACGATCAAATTAAAAACCTCATCAAAGCCCACTTTTACTCGAAGTGAAACTAGGCCCATGAGGCTCCTAAAAACCCAAATTAACTTAATCTACGCTTTTCAGGCTGTCATTTTTTTAATGTAATGCATTTTAAACTGTCTTCGAACATTTAAAGCCTTCACTTGCTCATGCTATGCCATGGTATACTTTGCATACGCATTGCTTTTTTCCGTCTCAGGCACTACTCTAGTGTTTCGTTCTCGGGAACAGATTACATTTCATGAATGGTATAACAAATTTATGCGGATTTAAAATGTTATTATATATGACTAAGACTTTTACAGCCTCTATGAAGGCATGCTGGGCTTTGAAAAAGCCCTAAACAAATTTATGCCAAGCTTTCGTTCAACATTTTGCGGATATCTCCAGAGTGGGAAACCAAATTTGCAAAGAACTGAGACAAGTGGGCAAAGCTAGGCTACAAGAAGTAGATAGGATAGCAGTCAACTGCCCGATAGAGCTTCCCAAAGAACGTTTTCACATTCTGCTGTTCTTTGTCACATGATAGACGGAAGTTCAGCACAAATTCATTGGAGGCGCAGGATGGGGCGCTGAGATCTTCATCACAAAATCCAATGATCACGAATGCAAGTCACCCCTTCTTCCGTTTCCCGAGTGACCAATTTATATAGCCCTCCTCCCTATAATTATATAAACATCATAAATTTTGAGAATGAGTTGTTTCATCTTGCGCAGAGTGAGTGAAAAATTAGTTATTGAGGTGGTTGAGTGTCGTGACGCTTTTTTCTAAAGTCTTATTTCGAGCTCAAGTGGGATAATAAGAGACTCGTCTATTCGAGATGCTTTCGTGATTACATCCTTTGACCATCGAGGCTCAACTGCTTTCTTATTTTCGATATAATTACTTTTCGAGACTATCGGTAATTTTTGACTAGGAACTTAATTACTCTATGTTGCCTTGGGTGAATAAAAGACTGTTAGTTGAGATTTTTTCACAATAAGATAAGTAGTCCTCACGATGCCATTGAATTTCATTGTTGTGGAGACTTTCATTTTACATGAAATTCCATGATAAAGAGATTCGTAGGCCGATCTCACCAGAATACGACAGCTGATTCCTGTTGTTCTGCAGCCTTTGGGCCTTAATTGGACGTTCAAGTTGACATAGTCCGCCAGACATCCTACTTTGTCTCGGGTGAAAACGGGCTAAACTTTCGTCCAATTCTATCCTCATGACTAAATACTAAAATAAATAGAAATGTATGGATATATGTTGATTTGGTTAGTCATATTTCATGTATAAACATGAGTGTGCGTGTGTGTTTCTGTTAGCCTGTTTATAATCGTACGCCAGTAAGTCAAATCTCGTAACATCGGTTATTCATGAGATTAATTA